ATGACAATGGCTCGATAAACCAATGACTCGATAAGCCAAGAGCTTCATTTCAGCAAGGATGTCATGATTTAAGAAGACACTCTTACACAGGCGTCCAAAGGCTGCGCTCATACATTTCAGACGGTGTTGTATTTCCACATTGATGTCTGCCTTTGATGAAACATTGTTGTTGTTATGGTGGTTGTTGTGGTCTTCATTTTGGACTTCAGCTTGTTGAGGTTGAAGAGTCTTCCATCCATCCTATACACAATTTCAATTGCAGGTGGAAGTTTTCTATCGATGAGGTGCATTATGGCTGAGAAGAAGATGGAAAACAAAGTTGCAGTGATGACACAACCTTACTTCACTCCAGTTTTCACCCCAAGTGGTTCTGTTTGATTCCCATTTGTAACAGGGGGCTTTCTCAGGGCCGGTTAGCTGTTGGCCCGCCCACCTGTTTCCATCTTCTTCTCCAACTGCCCGCCTCCTCATCTGCCATGACTTGATGATACATAATTATGGTGTTAATTAGGCAGGAGGATGCCCATTCTTGCCCCGATGCCAGGAGGTGCTATTTGAAGTTCAATTCCTACCCTATTGACACAATACTCCCAGCCTACAGCCAGACCAAGCTTAGCCCTCGTTGTCAGGCCTCAGACACACACACATTCATACTGCCCTCCTCTCACTAGGGCCTGTCACACTCCCCCCTCTCTCACAGGGTCTCTTTCATGCATTGACAACTTGTACCACCTTGCATCCTCTCAGAGAATGCCCTTTCAGCCATAGGCTTTATCTAGCGCACACCTCAGGTGGCAGATATACCATCTTTTGGGCCTCTCCCGCAACCCTCACCGGGGTAGTGACCAGCCACTTACCCAACTGGGTCCAAGCTTGCCTTGACCCCTCTCAGGGCAACTCTACACACTTGTACACACATACTGGGCTCCCAGCCCTCTGGTCACCCCCTTACTGGGGCCCCTCATCTCTGCCTCTTCACTGGGGCCACAGGGCTTCCTTCCCCGGTGGGGGCTCAGGTGGCCGTAGACGTGCCTGGCTCCGTCTGGGTCTTACACCTGCCTTGGGCTCATGTGGCTGTAGGTGTGTCTGGCCCCCTAGTACCCACTCTATTGTGGGGGCTGGGGTTAAGGTCCCCCAACCTGCCTTTCACCAGGGTGGCAACTGGCCTGGCATTTCCTGGGGGCCCACTGGTGCACCACTGGGAACTCCACTGGGCCACCCACTCCTGGCAGGGTGCAATTTTAGGTCATGCCCAGGACCAGGAGCCTTCAAACCATCCCCTTAAGCTCCTGCCCTTACCTCCAGGATCTGCCCTGCCACACTGTTGCTTGCTGACATATTGTCATGGAGAAGTCTCAGAACACTGATTAACTTGTTTGGGCAGCCAATTTTGGACAGGATTTTCCATAAGGTGTCACAATTTACAGAATTGAAGGCTTTAGAGAGGTTTTTGAAGGCCAAATAGAGGTCAATTTTGCTCATGACACTTCTCCTATTTTTGACGTGATGTAAAGATCGTGTCCACAGTTTCTCCAGATGGTCGGAAGCCACTTTGAGATTCTGGAAGAATTTCTTCCTCAAGTGGGAGAAGGCAGTTAGTGAGAATACAGGTGATGACTTTCTCAGCAGGTGCCAACAATAAGATGCCTCAGTAGTTTCTGCAATCAGCTCTATCCCCCTTCTTGAAGACGGTAACAATCAAGGCATCCCTTAGGTCAGCTGGGATTTCTTCCTTGTTCCAGATTAAGGATGAGGACATGAAGCTGATGTGTAAATTGTTCTTCTCCACTGAAAATCTCTGCAGGTATTCCGTCAACACCGACTACTTTGTTATTCTTCATTTTCCCCGATGGCACTCTCGACGTCTGCTAGGGTAGGTGGCAAACCAAGGTCTTCTCTGACTCTTTTTTATGGAAAGTTGTTGATCTTATCTTCTTTGACAGTTGAGTCATGATTCAGAAGGTCTTGGAAATGTTCTTTCCAGTGAGCATTGATGGATTGGTTGTCTTTCAGGAGTGTTCCATCCTTTAATCTTAGAGGATTAAGGCCTGGAGTGCTAGGGCTGTAGACAGCTTTGGTAGCACTGAAGATACCATGAATGTCAGAAAAATGTTGCATTTCTTGTTGTTTCTGAACCCACCACTCATTCTTCAGTCCATGTGTTCTCCTCTGCGCTTCTGATTTTGCTCATTGGTGTGCGTTTTTTCTTGATGGCAGAGTTGATGGCATTCTGCCAGGCACAGTAAGCTTTCCATTTCATGTCGATGAGATCTTGAATTTCAGTGTCATTTTCAGTGCTATAGCTCCTCCTTTATATAAGCTGGTAACATCTGTGGTGGCTAGGAGGGTCTTGCTGTGAAGGTGGTGTATGTTTTTAAGGTTTTGTAGAAAGTCTATTGTGTTTTGGACAAAACTCACTCTTTGGGTGACGAGGTTTTAGGATTCATATTGCCACAGTGAGATGCAGCATACAGAGTAAGATGGTTCTGGAGTCTGACCCAACATGGCACATCTTATTTTCTTCTTTTGGGTTCACATATCTTTCCCTTTTAGCTGCTATGGGCAAGCTTTCACAGCAGGATTAGAGAGTGTTCTTTGTCTTGCCTACCTTATGAAATGGTACTTGGGGCACATTGCTAGGAAGTAAGAGATGTGGCTGAGAACCTTGATCTACCACTCACTGGGCATTATTATACAGAAGTGTAAAAGGACTGGGTATCCAGGGGTGGCTGTGAAATGATGGCAGTATGGTGGCAATATGGCTCCTGCCTGGCTTGATCTCTAAGATACTTTTCCTCAATTCCTTACCTGTCATGCTTTGTTCTTATTAAAAAATTAAGGAAGGGAGGATGCCCAGAGATCTTAGAGTAAGCCCTACTCAACTTCAGCCACAAGCCCCTCCCAGACCCCACTGGTTTCAATTTTGCCCTTGAGCTGAGTTGGCCCTCTCAGCCCATCTGTGCCCCAGGGCATTTGTAGCTTTAAGGGCTAAATACGTAGCTCAGACTACCCCTTACACCATGCCTATACCTCACAGATGTTGTTGCACTTCTATTCCCTTTGCTGGGGCATCAGCCTTCTCAGCCTCCACCCCTTTTCTCTAGCCGGGCCTTCTAGCCTGGGCCCACTGTGCTAGGCCTGGCTTCTAAGCACCAGCACTTATATTAGGGCAAGGGGACCAGAATTAAAGTACTTATCTCAGCCCTGCCCTGGGTAATAAGCCCACTATGGCTTGGTCTGGGTCCCTTGGCCCTATCTCAGCCCCACTTTGGGCACTGAGCCTGCTCCAGGTCTCTTGGCCCAACATCCTTCCCCTCCCTAGACTACCTTAGTCCTTCTCTGGGTGCTGGCCCCTCTGGCCTTAGCTGGGCCCTACCTCTGAGAGCTGGCCCCTCTGCCAAGCCACTGGCTACACCTTGAGCCTGAGCCCTTGCAGGACTCAAAGTAGTCACATGCCTCCTGGGCAATAAAGGACCTCTGAACACCCCCCACCCCCCGGTCTAAAACTGTAACCCAAAAGAAGCCCTCTGGCTATAACACAAATCCCCAGATGTAACCCCAGGTCCTTGGCTGTATCACTCAACTCCACCCTACCCTGAGTCCTAGTCCCCTGGAAATCAGCAACATTTCTATTTGCATTTATCCCAGGGTAGTCCAGGCAGCAACCACAAGCTTCTCTGTAGCGCTCATGTCCTGGAGCTCTTCCCTCAGCAGTTCCCAAAGCTGGACTGACTGCTCTGCCTCAGGCCCTGGGTTTATATGGCTGGAAGTGCTTGCTTTGTGTCCCTCAGGCCGTGGTTTTATAGGGCTGGAAGCCACTGCCCCGTTTGGTCATGTGACTCCCTGAGTTACCACAGGTGCTTTCTGATTTAGGTTGCCAGTTCAACCCCCGAGGAAATTACTGCTGACCTCTGCTGTAACAATAGTTTGTCTCCTGTGCAGGGCACTAGCCCAGTGCGCTACTGCTGTGGTACTAGCTTTCTGATTTAGGTTGCCAGTTCAACCCCCGAGGAAATTACTGCTGACCTCTGCTGTAACAATAGTTTGTCTCCTGTGCAGGGCACTAGCCCAGTGCGCTACTGCTGTGGTACTACTGGTTTAGCAGTAAGTACTTGTAGCAGGTAAATTCTGAGGTACTTGCTCCCTGGCTGCTCATAATGGGCAGCTTTCTCCCTCCTGGGGCTCTCCCTGCTGCTCCTTCACCCTTAAAGTTACAGGAGCCGCTTGGCTCTATAATACTTACTTGTAGAGGTCAAGGAACATGTTAGGATATAGCAAGCAGATATGCTTTTCAACCGCAGACCTTCCCCCAGTAGGAGATATAATGTTAGAACAAGAAAAGTGTTTAGCAATCAGGTAATGACCCTACATCACCTATTAAAGGTAACCATGTCTACACTGAGCAGTGCAGTATAAATCATTGAAAAGGGGTTGAATTTACAGTCCGAGGTCCCATCTACAAGTTACACTTAAGTGAGATTAATCAGTTAATCATGCACTAGGTGGTTGCCCACTTACAAATTCAGTTAATTAATGGTGTGATGAGAAGCAGAACAAGCTGCAGAGTTATTCTACAAAATATGTGTAATATCTTTTGTAGTTGCTTCCTATCACACCACTAATTGAACGTGTTGCCAGGGCCCCCTGTGTCTGAGAATCCTGTCACCTGATCAAAACTCCCAGCTCTGGGGGACTTTGTTCATTCCTGTGGCTGGGAGACCATAGCTTATGAGGTGTCCCAGCCATGGGGGTGCATGGTGCAGCCCCTGGCTGGGAACCCAATCAGCTGAGGGGGCCCCCAGCCATGGAAACTTGCTTCTTGCTGGTGCAGGGGAAGCCTGGGAACAGGGCCCCCCTGTACAGGCAATAAGATACAATGGGAGCTGATTCATGATTGTGTGCCTTGTGCATTCGAACCCATTGCGCCTTTATCTGTACTTGTAGAGATGCACTAATGTCCCATTTCCAGTTGTTAATCTTGTGTGTTGCTTTCTGTTTAGAAGTTACATGTGATCCTCCAAAAGTGGCTGATGGTAGCTTTGTCCCTTCAAAGACAATATACAGAGAAGAGGATGTAATCACAGTGGATTGCAAGCATGGATTTCACTTTGACTCATTCAGTGGGAACACAGCTCAGTGCACCAAGAATGGCTGGATACCTGTTCCAAAATGTGTCTGTATGTTGTTTTTGCATCTTAACAGGTTTATAAAATATCAGAACCAAAACTGTATTATGACAAATTTTAATTCAAACAGGTCATGACATTTTGTTTTACAATACAAAAATGAAAGGTATTTGCAAATACTTTGTTCATTTTACAATAGGGACAAAGTTCCTTCTCAAATGCTTACCCAAATTATGCCCAGTGATTGCAATGAGACAGTAAAAACTGAGCAAGGACTTAATAATTTTGTCCACTGATGATTAAACTAAGTGACATCTGTTTAAAACAGAGATAAAAAGAAATCTTGGAGCCCAATTGTTTGGTTATAAAATATCCTTCTGATAATAAAGTTCAAGATTTCATGACAAACCTGTAGATTCTGAGACAATGAAGAGGAACTTTATTATGTAGATCATCTCATTCTTGTGCAAAAGGAACTGGTACCTTCCAGGTTACTGACCTATCCAGAGCTCACATACTGTATACAATAATTTCTAAGGCTAGTAAGCATGGCTGGGTGAATACCAGAGGGGCATGAAGCACCTCTTTTTTAGGGGTTAGGGGACTTGCTTCAGATGTGGAACACCTAGGTCCCATTCCTCCCTCTCCATTAGCAATGTGAAGCAACTTGTTCCAACTCTAGTAGGTTCCCTTAAATGCCTTGCTGCAAAAAATTCTGGTGTGTTTCTGTCTTGATCACAGCTGTTGAGACTGTGCTACTTTGCATCATGTAGGCAGGGCACTACCATTTGATTTCCTTAACCTTAACCAGTGTGTTATGGACTCATTCTCTCCATTTCTTTCTTTATCTTTGGCCCAACTAATATTTAAATACTTTACACAAAATAAAACAAGTACAAAAGACCATACTGAGAGGGATCTAACCCTAACTACTATACTGTCTATTAATTAGAGCACTCACCTGGTATGTGGCACATCTTAAATCCCAATTCATGCAAAAGAGAGATATGAACCTGACTGTCCTACTTCCCCAAGTGAGTGCTTTAACTACTGAGTGTTGAGTGAAAGCAAGTCCTCTACTTCTCAGTCATCTCTGGTTTTGTAAATACAGGCAACCCCTGCTTAGAGCTCTTAATTGGTTCCTGAAAAACCAAGCATTAAGCCAAACGAGTGTCAAGCGAAACCAAAAGTATTTGACAATCCAAGATGGCGACTGCAATTGTTTTTATGACCCAAGATGGTGAGTGTGAATGTTATAGCAAAACTCACTGAGTGCTAAGTGAAATCAGGTATCAATTTAAAATGAGCCTTATAGCGAAGTAGTGCTCAGCAAAACAGCATTAAGTGGGGGTTGCCTGTACTGCCTGCCACTAGCTGGGCATATCTACATGTGCCATAAGGGGACAGCAGTAAAATGCAGAGCTTATTGCTCTGCCGTTTATGGCTCCTGGGAAGCTCTCAGGCATGCATATGCACCCAGAGACGTCCCTAGGGGTGTGCAGGGACCGGGGCATATTAGCCTGGGCAGGGCTGGGGGGCGTGGCATGCGGCTGGAGCTGGTGGCACATGGTAGCCATGGCACACCCTGTACAGCACTGTCCATGAGGCCGCGCAAAGCGCAGGGCCTGGGGTGGTTGCCCTGATTCGCACACCTTTATGGATGGCCCTGTGTGCACCTGGACTGTAACACATTGAGCCGGGTTGCAGCAGTGCCAGCTGTCAGGTGTCCTGGGGGCCGAGCTCACCAGCCCAGGGCTGCTCCAACCAGGCTCAATGTGCTGCAGAGGAGCTGGCTGGGGTATGAGGATACTTCAGCACAGGACTGGCTGGCAGGCAGCCCTGACCCTGATGCACCCTCATGCCCAAACCACCTGGTCAGTGTCTGCACATGTCCTACTGCCACCAAAAAAACGTCTGCAGCAGGATAGGACTTGTATTTACACATCCTGCCCTGCTGAGAAGTTTATTAGTTTTGTGCACCCTAATAGGGTGCACATGTACACGCTGAGACATTTTCTGCATGTTAATTAGTTGACTGCACAATAAACATCTCATGTAGATGCTCTAGATCTTCTTTTCAATTGCATCAACTTACTAGTGACCTAAAATCAAGAAGAAAAAAAAGTCCAGCTTGCTTTGGATTGAATGAAATGATTGAACCAAAACAAATTCCTTGGGGTTTTTCAGTCAGGCAAGAGAAACTGAATTTTTCATGATTTCAGTTCAGTTACCAACCAAAAAATACTTTTTGCATTTCTAGCATTTTACAGTTCTGACAGGCAGAAAAGGCTTTTGTGGGATGAGAAATAAGTAATCCAAGTCATAATGTATTTCCAGGGGCATGTCTACACAGGACATTTAATAGGCAGTTGACTAATGAACTGTGCAGTAAACAAGTCCTAATTTGCTGCAGAGTATTTTCACACCCAGCACCGCAAGTGCAGATGCTGTGGCACAAGGGTGCTTCAGTGCCAGGGCTGCCTGCAAGCTAGCTGCATGCAGAAGCAACCTCTTGCCCCAGCCAGTCCCTCCACAGCACACTAAACCTGGTTCGAGCAGCCCCAGCTAGAGGGCAGACCCCCATGGTTCCCCTGCCAGCTGGAGCTGCTACAACCCAGCTCAATGTGCTGTGGTCCAAGTGTACATGTAAACCACACACCTGGGAGCAAGAAATTGTGGAGTAATAACCTTTGCAATTTACTGCTTCCTCCTAATGGCACGTGAAGATGTGTCCCCGAATGCCTTAATTTGGTTAATGCAGCTTCCAAATTATAAAGTGTAAAGCTGGGGAGAAAAAAAGTGTTGTGAAAATTTGCAACATTATTATTTCAGGTTCTTTCATGCGTCTCATAATAGTTTATTTTAAACTTCTGTTTCTGACAGTGCAACCTTGTGGCTACACACAGGTAGAAAATATTGAATTAAGTGGCTATTATCAAAGCAACAGAGAACGAGCCTTTCCAGCAAAGACAGGGTCATCAATGTACTACAGGTGTGCCCAGGGTTATGTAACTGCAACTGAGGAAAATTGGGTTTTAATCAGATGTACAAGAGATGGCTGGGATCCTGCACCAAAATGTATAAGTAAGTAAATGTAAAATTGTGTTATTGCCTCAAATCCTCTTTCACTATAAGTACTAATCTCAAGCAGAGAAATGGTGGTGTTTGATAAAACTGCTCCCTTATTCCCCTGTACTCCTCCACTAAGACTGTCATTGAAGGACATGAATATGTCTCTTTTGAAAGGAGTGCCTCACACAATGGGCAGCAGCCATAGAGGGTATGGGTTTTGCAGAAGACTGCTGTTGTCTGTTCTTTTAGTTAACCTGCTCCCTCCCCTGTGCTGGCCCTTGTCACCTCCCCCAGCATTTCTACCCCTTTAGCAAGGGGAAAGGGGGGCCCTTTGAGAGCAAGTGAGTTGTGGAGAGGTGCTTAGGCCTAGCTAGGTAATCAATTATGGGTAAGGATCATATGTAACCTGTAAGGTAGAGGCCCACAGGGGAGAAAATAATGAAGGATGTGGTGTTTAGGGATGTTCACTTCAAAGGAAACTGTTTGCTAGGTTGAAATACAGGGATTTTTTCCCTTCTGCCCCCCTACAGTGTGTGTGCATGTCTGTGTGTGTTTCTCTTTGTGTACATATGTATATCTGCAAAGAAACATGCAGGTGTGCTCACTTGATGTATGGAAATGTATTATTTCCAAGACAGTCTTTGTGGCCTGCTGTAGCAGCCACTGTTTGGGCTCAATCTGTTTTTCTTTTTTTTCTTTTTTGAGGGGTCCTTCTTGATGGTAACATTGCGAAGTACTGCTTTCAGATGTTCTGGATGCAAAATGATGCAAACCCATAATACTCCATTTTGTAGCACTCCAGATGTAATAGGCACATATTTAAGGTGACCTATGTAGCTGATTGAGGACTTCTGTAACATCAACAGAAAAGTGGATTGACACATGAAGCACCTAGACAGCCCTATGCCATTATCACTTTTCAGCTTCAATTTTTCATTCCAAACTCTCTTCTTACTATCTGGAAACCTTTCATATTTCAAGCTGATTCAAAGAAAGGCTACAAAAAGGCTGGTGTTTTTCCACAAGCATACTCAAGCTACAAGGCAAAGGCAGTTTAACCATTCCAAGCTCTCCAGGAAAATTAAGGATTCATGAAATTCTAAGATTGAGAAATATCATGAAAATAACAACCATGAAAATATCATGAAAATAACAATCTGTTCCCCATGAGCAAAATGATTTCATCCACCCCATCTGGAAAATTGTCCTTAGATACACAGCTAATGCCTAAATAAGTCTCAAAGAATATCATAAAGGCATGATCTATATCTGAGAACATGAACAACTCCTAGAATAATAAACAGTCACAGGTAGCACCTTATAAACAGGCTGTGGAAATCACATTTTCATTTCTCCTAGGAAGATATTAATATCGCTGTCTTCCAGGTATAGCCAAAGGTGTAACAAAGATTGTAGCCCCCTGTGCTGCACTGACACAGTAATAAACAGTCTTTGTCCCAAAGAGCCTGAAATCTAAATTTTCAAGAAAAAGAGTGAGAGAGAAAGGCACAGAAAGATTAAAAGTTCATAGAACAGGTCCATTGCAGAAGCATTCATGAATGACACGTGTCCCTAGAGGTGAAAGAATCATCACCACCACTGGCTGTATATCCTCACTAAAAGCAATAAAGGGCCTGACACTGCAGTATGTTTGGGGCAGGAAGACCAACAAGGGTCAGGCACAATGCAGTCCATGTTCTGCTACTATGTGGCTCTGTTAGGGATACTTGAGACATCCCATAGTGTTGTTATCTATCACACTGTGCACTGCACACTCATGGGCCCAATGCAGAGTGAGAACGGTGACAATGACAATGAGGACAATGATGAAAATGAAGGAAACGGACATTGAGGAGCGTGAGGATATCTGCTTTGTGGACTTGTTCCCCAGCCAGGTCCCAATCCTGACCAAAACCATGACCCAAACCAAAACCCAGGAGACACGAGATGGGAACAGTTTGAACAAGCCCCTCATTGAGAATATGGAATGATCAATCTGGCACTAACTGCTGGCAAGTTTCAGAAACTCTGGGTTACAGAGTGACTGGTGGTGTGTTCAAGGGTCCAGGAACACGGGGGTGGTAATAGCTCAAGAGTGACTTGGGGCTTTGGGCTGTCTCTTGGCTTTGGGGTGCCTTTGGGCTCTGGGTATGGTGAAGTGGTGAAACACATGGGTTTCAGGCAGTGCATATTGTCCCTGCCCTTGCTGTTTACCAGAAGGATGGGGCCATTGTGTTCCATATAGTGCAGGGAAAGTGTGAATTGGTGGCACATCCATGCTTAGGCCACAGGATTTTAGGTTCCTGGCCCAGTCACAGATTAATGGTCCAGGTAAGGTACTCAGTGGCTGAGAGGGGGTATTCAGTGACTTATTCAAGGGTTAAGCATTTCATGTAAATCACAGGGTGAAAACCCAATCCATCACCCTACCCCACAACTGGGCCACATAGTAAAGACCACTTGGAGCCCACTTCTCTTCCTCTGGGGATGCCCTGCATGCACCACAGTGAATCAGTGGATGTCAGCCCACTTGCAGCCCTTTTTTACTGCTGGGTGAATTCCACAGGCCTTGGGACAGGCTCAGCAGAGCGAGATCCAATCCCCGAAACAAATTTGCAGTACTCAAACATACAAAAATGTACAATCACAGGCTTTTATTTATGTGCATATAAGGATCCACATTACTGCTTCCCATAAAGGCAGTGTTGGTACTGTCAGTGTCAGACCCATATACTGCTGTGTGGATCCTAGGAGAAGAGGGGTTTGTCAGCAGGGAATGCTGTCATTTTTGGGGGTGTCACCATTTAGGACATTAGCTATCTCCCTCACCACGGGGAGAACCCCACCAAAAGCTGGATTTCTGTCTATGGACACAAGCAGTACCAGTCAGAGGAGCTGCTGAGAACTCTTCAGGAGACTTCTGTGGCTCTGGATTACCAATTCTTAGAAGTGGCACAGGTACAGGAGAGATGGTCAGGGAGGATCCAGGAACTGGCCCTCCAGACTCAAGCCTCCACCCATTTGCAAGGGAGTCAAGCAAGCCCTTGCTGGTACTGCTGTGGAGTCATGAAAATTCTTTTTTTGACAAGGGTGGCTATTGCCATGGAAAGGGTGGCTACTGCCACAGAAGAGTAAGTTTCCACCTACTCTCCCCAACTTGACCACAAGCAGTGCCCCCAGTTTCATGCAAACATGGGCTACCATGGACACTGACCACCACCCCACTTCCCCACCCCTCCACTTCTCTCTGCCCAGCAATTTCCACCAAATGTTCAGTGAGAGTATCAGGTGGGTGTCTAGGTGCACTGTGTGCACTCATCCCTATACTCCAGCTGCTGAAGATGTCCAGAGATTTGCACTCCTCCATGTGGCTAGATGACAAGCAGTCAGTGGAGGTCTGAGCAGAAGATCTGCTGAAATATGTATTGGATATATGCAAAAAAGGCACTCCAGTCTGCTCCCTAGCCCTCTAGCAGCAAGTCAGAGCAGGTCAGACATTGTGAGAAATGTTACTATGTGACTGCTCAGAACATGTTCTAACTTGAATGCCACTTAACTTTCCACTGACTTAGCACATACACGTTGTAATACGTAACAAAGTCATGAAAGAAGTGAATTTGCAGGAAGGATCCGAAGGCACACCCAGCCTGGGAGGCTTTGGCTATTTAGTGTCCTGATAAAAGAAGAAAGCTCTGACTACTTAAGACCTTTCAGTCATATTGAACTTGTCAATTGCTGCATTCATGGCAACAGGTGAAAAGGGGTTAAGAAAAATGTACAGAAGGTTGGAATGTAAAGTCTCAACCTTCTTTGCCTCCAGACTATAGCAGACATGGGGGCAAAAAGGGGGAATGAGTGTGCTTAGTTTTCAGAAGGTATAAACGAGACCAGCTCACTCTTGACTCCTATAAGCCTTAGGGGTTCATGTTGAATTCCTGATGACAGTAAAGTCAATGACAACTTACCACTGACTGCAGGAAGGCCAGAAATGGAAGGGATGAGGTGAGAATAGATGAGTTCCAAGTAGGACTCTGAAGATGCATGAAGGAAAGATTCTTCCCAAACATACAGCATAAAACTGTCCTGGTAAAAAGTCTTGAGGAGGAAAATAAATCAGTGGTCATGTTGTGGCAGGATCTGAGATGCAAATCTGAGCCCAACTGAAAAATAATTGTTCAAATTAGCTGCCTCCAAGATAAATATTGTGAACATGGTTTGAAAGGCTCAGCCCTGACATCTCTGGATTTTACCAGTATCACTTCACATTACTCCAGGGAAATCTCAGAGCCCGTGCCCTGCACAAAATAGGGAAAAGGAGCCTTTTTCTGCAACCAGGTTTTACCATAGGCTGGGGTCATGATCTAGCAATGTTTTCTACGGCAGTGTTGCATCAAGATGGCATGATGTAAACAAACCCTTCACACCTTACTTTTGGTTTGGTTATAAATTCAAAAATCTTGTCAGCTGCTGCCTGACCCTGACCACAGCGCTAATCGAGTGCTGTGAAACAGATCTGCCTGTGAGCTTGGAGATTCAGTACCATTTGGGTTCTGCAGGCTGGTTTGTATTTTCGCATTCTTTATTTTGAGACTGAGTCTATGAGAGAGCTAAGAATACCTGTAAGTAAAATAACTTGAAGGAGCAGTATCATGAAGTCTTCTTGAAACTAGTGCTAGAGATCAATATTTCAGACATGTATTAGGCCATGGTTGGTGTAAATGATAATACATTTCAGAAGTCAGCTAATGGTGAGGCTGAGTCAGGTGATAGTCTGGTGTATTAGACCTGATTTTCCAGAGCCTTGCACCTTGTATGATATTGTACCCTATGCACAGGTATGACACAAGGTGCAAGGCTGTGGGAAAACTTTTGCATCCGATTTGAAAATGAAGTTCTTTTTGGTATCAAGTACCACTGTGTTCTGCAGCACACAGGTTAATTTTGCCCTTTTTTTTGTAATTCTTAGCTGATATTTAAAGGATTTATTTTCCACTCCCCATCCCGCTTCCTCCAGCCCTCTTTGTACATGCCTGATTTCCTGTGATTAACCCTATCTGATCTTTTTACTTTAGAAACATGTTCTTTCCCGCGTTTGGAAAATGGTAGAATCAACTATAGCTCTTGGAGAAAATTCAAAGAAGGTGAAACAACTTCATATTCATGTTACCAGGGCTATAGCCCTGAAAATGAGCAAGACAGGATTACATGCACTAAGAATGGCTTGTCGCCTACTCCAAGATGTATCCTTGACCGTAAGAAGCACCTGTGTTTTATTGACTAAACTCTATAGCTGTTATTGTCATAACTTTCTTAGGATAAATACAAAAATAACAACTCTGTAGGTGACCTGCCATGATGGTATATGTTCCTGAGCCAAGGACTTGTGGGATAAATAGATCACCACAACCTTTGACCTTTGTCAGCTCCACTTGTTGTGCCATGTGTGGTATTTCAATTGTAAA